ACACACTTGTACACACACACACACACACACACACACACATATATATCATACTTTGATAATGGGAAGAAATCTGTTCTTCATACCTTGGTTTTGTTTTTTTTTTTTTTTTAAACAAAATCTCTCATTGCTCTCCCCCTGCCTCACTTCATTCTATACTTGTTATTACTCCTCACACATGCAAGGCAAGCTTTCACCATAGGACTTTGAACTTGCTTTTACATGTGTCTGGAATGCTTTTCTCAGACTGCTAGATAACTCGGCTTCTCTTTCCAATTTGTATTTGTAGTTCTTCTCCACCCACACCCCTTTGTTTGTGCTTACTGGACTCTCAGAACATTTAGGTGACGGGAAGTACCTTGTCTTGTTCTTGTCTTTTTAAAAAGTGTTTCTTTTTTTGTTTGAGATTATAATATGGATACCTGTTTCCCAATTTCCTTTCCTCCCTCCAAACCCTTCCATATGCCCATCCTTGTTCTTTCAGGGAAGAGCACATTATTTACTCTGTCTTTTATTGGTGTTTCTCAAGTGCTCTTTGTGTAAACATTTGTTAGACTTTTTTAAAAATGCTTGTTTTTAGACTATGGTATTTTCTGCCTTTTCTTAATGTGCTAACTTTTTTTGATACAGTGTTTTTCTGTGTAACAGTCTTGGCTGTCTTGGAACTCATGCTGTAGACCAGGCTGGCCTTGACTCACAGAGATTCGCCTACCTCTGCCTCTGAATTGCTGGGCTGAAAGGCGTGCGCCACCACCACCTGGCATTTAAAAGTAATGAATTTAAAGTAATGAATCAGATGTGAAATTCTTTTCCTGTGTATATTGAAATGAACATACTTTTATTTTCTATTTTAATTCATTGATAGAGGGTATAATACTAGATTTTTCTACATTAAGGCAACCTTGTATTTCCGGATTATAGTCTACTTCATCATAAACTAATGTATTATGTTTTGTTTGGATTGTTAATATCTTAAGATTTTAATCTATCAATCCACAAGAGATATTAGCCTTTTATTTAGTTTTTTTTAATGTAGTTCTTACTAAGAACATTGTTTTTATATAGTAAATTGGGTGGATTTTTTTCTTCTTTGCCTCTGAACAAAGATAAAAATCATGTCCCGTGAAGGTAGAACATGACTGCTCAGAGATAGTTGTCTAGACTTGTGTGCTGTTCAGAGATGAATAGCCTGCCTGCACCAGCTCAGTTTCTTTCATGCTGTTCATATGTGGATCCTTAAGATTCCTTCTTAAGTCAGTTTTGGTTACTTGTGCTTTTTTCTAAAATAGTCCGTTGCATTTGAATTTTATTGTCATGCAGTTAATCGCTGAATTGCCCTTTTAAAATCCCAGCTGGACCTCACTCCACTTTCATTTTATTCCTAATCCTTCCCTATTCCTTTCTCTTCCTTTTGTTGGTTCATGTCTGCCAGGTTTACACTGCTCTTTTCACTCTTAAAAGTGTGCTTTTAAAAAGTCTGCTTTTTTCAAATGTGTGTACAACTGCATGTGGCAACATAGTACTTCTAGGAAAGAAGAGATATGCATAGAAAAAAGTAAATGATTTTTATAACACTGTTACAAAAAAACCTTCATAGATGCAATGGTCAAGTCTTCTAGTATGTCTGAGACTAACCTTGGGTACAGGGCAAATTTGAGGCAGACCTGATCTATATAGGATCCTATCTAAAAAGTAAAACAAAACAACACAATAAAGCAGAACGGAGTGTTCTTGAGATCCTCTGTAAACAGACACACACACACACACACACACACACACACACACACACACACACACACACACACACGAGTCCTTATCTTCTCCTCCTTGTCAGCCTTCTGAGTTCTGGGATTACAGGTATGAACCAGCATGCCAGACTAATTTTTTCTTTAAATAAGAACTTTACCATTCAGTCAGATGTGGTAGCTCGTCCATATAATCTTGGCACTCGAGAGGTAACAGCAGCAGGATTGCAACAGATTCCAGCTTATCCTGGTCCACATAGTGAGTTTCAGGCCAGCCAGGGCTAGAGTGAGATTTTTGCCCCCCTCAAATGAAATCTATCATTGAAATTTCATTATGAATAAATAATGATTTCTCTTATTACAGGTGTTCATTATAAACTCATCAAACATATTTCTTCTTGAACCTGCAAATGAAATAAAAAATCTTTTGGATGAGCACACAGATATGTGTAAACGTATTCTTAACATTTATCGATACATGGTTGTACAAGTATCAATGGACAAAAAGACCTGGTAACAATTCTTTATCTTTATATTGCTATTATTCTCTGTATACGTATAGTAATTTTTCAAGGAATAGTGTCTATGAATAGGGTGTGTTACAGTGTTAGAGTGCTCCTATTACTGAATTAATACAATTATATAGTAATCCTGGTACAAGAGTTATATGTGTGTGTTTTGACTGCATGTATGTAGTAACCACACTATGCATGCCTAGGTTCTATAGAGGCCATAATAGGCCTTCCCTCTCCAGACCCCTGAAATTGGAGTGACAGAGCCCTGTGAGCTGCTATGTGGGTGGTGGGAATTGAACCCAGCTCCTCTGCAGGGACAGTCAGTGCTCTTAACTGCTGAACCATCATCGCCCAGCCCTCTAGCTTTATTTTAAAAACATTCATTACTGAAAGTATATGAAGAATTGCATATAGAAATTCTTATTAACATATTTGAAATACTTTGTGCTGAGGACATTTCTAAGCACTTCACATGCACACTAATCACATTGTTTCTTAATAATGTATGTCTGCTTGAGTTTGTCACAGGAGATTAAATGACTGACCTTTGTTTATGCAATTCATGATGAGTGATAAGCAGAGTTTGAATTATAACCTTTCTCCTTTCAAAAAGTATTCTATTTTTAAAACCAAATATGGAGGTGTACACTGGTAAGGCAGCACTTGGGAGGCAGAGGCAGGAGGACTGCAAATTTGAGGCTCACCTGGGCTACATAAAACTATACTCTCTAAAAAAAAACCCAAAAACAGAATATCATACCAAACTGAAGTATTGCTTTTGCTCTTTGTTTTGTTTTGTTTTGTTTGAGCTCTGTGTAGCCCTGGCTGTCCTGGAACTCACTCTGGACCAGGCTGGCCTCAAACTGTTCAAGATCTGCCCACTTCTGCCTCCTGAGTGCTTTGATTGTAGGCATGTGCCACCGCTGCCCAGCATTAAGTATTCTTTTTCTTTCTTTCTTTTATTTTTGGTCCTATATTTTTCTTTCTATAAGCTTCAGATCAATGATGAGCCAGAAACCTTGCCATGTGAAACACACTTTTGGAGTTTATCTCATATTTTTAATTAAAAATTTAAATTTTATTTTCATGTATATGGGAATTTTTTGCCTGCATTTGTGCTTGATGCTGGCAAGGGCCAGAAGATACTGGATCTCCTTGGGCTGGAATTATAGAATATGTGAGCCATCATGTGGGTGCTAGGAATAGAATCCAAATCCTCTGGAAGAGCAACCAGTGCTCTCAAATGCTGAGTTATCTGCTCCAGCTCTCAAATTTCTTTTAAGTTCCTTTAAAGCTGAAGTCAAAGTAAGTGCCTAAGGCAGTTATTCACTTACATTGACTTTATAAGATTTTTCTGTGTTGATTATTCTTTTTGTACTGCAAATTGTGTCACCTGATATGTGAATGAGTTAAAGTTAGGCAGTAAATAAGATGAGGTTTATTTATAAACTGTGTCATGTGTAGTTAGATTTTCAATTCATACAGCTAAGCTAGAAGGCTAAGGTAACAAATATGTCACTTAAGATTTTATTTTCTGATGGCTCTGTGGATATAAGAATAGGAGAGCTATCCCTGACCCCCACCAGCTGCAACACTTGGGAGAGCAGGCCCTGCATCTCACCTAGGTAACACAATAGAGTTCACCTTGGTGATGGAGGTGAGGTTGAACCAATCTCATTGCCCCTTACCATCTTACCAACAGACAAATGAACTGATCCTCCCTCTTACCAGCTGTAGGACTCAGGAAGTGAGCCCTATCCCTCACCTAAGCAGCACAGCAGAGCTGCCCAGTGGTCAGAGGTGAGGTTGACCCAGCCTTGAGATTATGAGCAAGGGAGAGTGGTCCCCATTCCTCATCTGACATGAGGAGAGATGCCCCTGCCACCCATCAATTCCTGAGACCAGTGGAGGAGCTGGCCCTGGGGTCATAAGAACGCAAGGGCTGTTTCTACTCCTCACTAGCCGCAGCATTTGGAAGAGTGGCCCCTGTACCTTACCTGGACAACACAATAGGGTTAGCTCTGATGGTGTAGGTGTGAGAGTGCCAACCCTGAGCATGAAAGCAGGAGAACTGGCCCCACCCCACACTCATTGCTGCAAGGGGTAAACTAGCAAGGGCAATGCTGGAGAGCCTATCCTGGTGTTGAGGACAGGGGAGAACTCTGCCCTCGGCTGTCCAGGCCCAAAACCAGAATTATGACTTAGCCTGCCCCACCATCCACCATTCACCCCATCTGTGATTTGCTGGAGCATGTGAAGGGACTTGACCAGCATACCCAAAGCTGCAGGATCTCAGGGCAACAACAGGATATCCATCCAGGAAGAGTCCTAGTGAGGGCCCAACATTGATAGTGTATTAGAAACCAGAGGCCTGGAATTAAACCAATGAATGACTCTTTGCAATGAACACTTGCAAGTAAAGACATATGGACACTGCAGTTTCCATGATGAGATTTTTAATTTCCCCCCCCCCAGATTTTGTTTTATTTTGGGGGGTGGGTGCAAGGTGGAGGGCAGATGCTAAGGGATGGGGAAATGAATGGGATCAAGATACATGATGTAAAAGACACAGAATGATTAGAAAGTAATTATAAAAAAATCTTTCTATTATAAAAAAGATTTTATTCTATGACTGATGATTATCTTATTTGCTTTTTTATGGTACTGGGGTTTGCCTCACACACTATAGGCAAGTGCTCTGCTACTGAGCTATACCTCTAACCTCAGAATACTTTGTTATCTAAGTGATCATTGTCTATTTGATTTTGTGTTCACATCCTTCCCCGCAAATGGCATCTAGGTCTTGGATGTATTATTGCTCTACCCACATTTCTTAACAGTGACCATAAAACTGTTCCTAGATTGGCACTGAAAATGGCCTCTCTTATTCCCTCCCTCTTTCTTTCTTTTTCTGTGAGACAAGGTCTTACTGTGGTAAGAACACACATGCATATCACCTCTCCTGCCTCAGTCTTACAAGGATTACAAGTACATTCTACTATGCCTAGCCACTAGTGTCATATATTGATATGTTGATGAATTCATTCCCAAAATGTCAGGTGTAGTTTTATGGTGTTAGTAGGAAACATCTAGGAGAAAGAGTTAAGGTAAAGACAGTGTTAGAATTGGTTCCATTTCCAATACACATGTAGAACAAAAGATTGAAAAAATTGTTGAATGGGGCTAGGGAGATGTCTCAGCATGCCCTTCCAGAACACCTAAGTTCAGTTCCCAGCACTCACACTGGGTGGCCTACAACTACTGTTAGCTCCAGCTCCAGGGGATCTGATGCCCTCTTCTGACTTGCTCAGGTGCCTGCACACATGTGGCATACACTCAATATACAAAAAAAAAAAAAAAAAAAAAAAAAAAAAAAAAAAAAGCCACGAAAATAGAAACTAAAAGGGACAAAAGGGTGTGGTTGCAAGCTTCTGTAATCCTAGCATGAAGGAGATGGAAGGTTGAAGGCTAGGCTTTATGAGTCACTGTCTCAAGAAACAAATGGGGGTTGGGAGGAAGAGAAGTAGTATTTTTATCTTTTATTTTTCCTGTGTATTCATTATTAAAACCATAAAATATAAAATTTGTGCATGAAGATATTGAGCCCTAAAGGATTTTATGATGTTGACTTCATAAAGGCTTACAAACTTCAATTCTTAATTTTAATATTTAAAGAATCCTAAAAACTTGATAATCGTTCAAAGATTGAGTATTTGGGTTATTCCAGTGATAATGTTTTCACAACAATGAATATGAAAATTGATCACAAACTCAGAGCAAGAAGGAAACATTAACAGATCTTCTTACTTTAAGGGAACAGATGCTGCTCGTGTTACTCAGAGTCACGGAGTCTGTGCTGAAGATGTCATCACAAGCTTTTCTACAGTTCCAGGGGAAAAAAAACATGACCTTGGCAGGTCGACTTGCAGGACCACTTTTCCAGGCAATAAAAATAAATAGATGGATAGAAGCTTTGTTTTTAAAAGATTCATTGAAGCTGAGCTTGTTAATAGGGGAAAATGCTTTAAATCAGAAACCTATTTATGTTAAAGGATCTTTTATAGACCTAAATTAAAAAACACTGATCTAAAAGCCATACACACAAATTCACAACATAATGGAAGAAAAATGTAATTAAGAGTAATATGCTTATTTTACCTCTAGTGTGTCATGCTTATTGTTTCAGAAAGCTAACAAAGGGCTGCAGGAATAATACCAGAGTATCTTCTGAGTTTCTGAATCTCTGGGATTATTAGGAAAAATATTTTCAATTTGTAATAAAAATATAGTACCTAACCAAGAGTCATTCTTGTGCTGCCCCATAGACTTATTGTTCTCCTTTGTAGAGTTGATTGAATCAGTAGTATTTTTGATTATACAGAAATTATGTTTTTTTTCAACATGAAGGTAATGTACTGAATTTAAGCTTACTATAAACTCTAAAAATAGGAAATATTTTTGATGACATATTAAATGAAATTACATGGTCAAAATGATTCTTAATGTCAGAGGTAAAGACTATTTTAGATGATCCTTGGGCAAAAGTGTAACCATTTTTGTTGGCATTTTTCAATTCTTACTTACTTAAAAATCTTTGCTGATGGTAAATTAACTTTTAAAATAGAAACGTGTTATCTAAATTTTTAGAAAATTCCTCATTTTTATAACTAACCCAGTGATGGGAGCTACAGAAAGATAAATTTTTAGCTTGCTGTGCAAAAATAACTTCTTTTGTAGTTTGAACATTTAGAGACAGAATGAAAGGGCACTGGTCATTTCAATGTTATCTTTATATTTCATATGTGAATTTATAATAATTCCTTTGCAAATTAATGAAGTTAAAGTTTTGAAAACTTTATTTTGTGACTTAATAATGGTAAATATTTAGAGGATACCGGATAATCAGTATTTTCTGCCTTCTTAAGTGTAAGCTATTAGTGCTATAATTGGATTTATTACAGAATACTAGTAATTGCTGTTGTATCTTTAAAATAAAGTTTAATTTTAACCTTTAGTTTGCATATAATTTTTCAAGGATATTTCATTTAGTACATCCTCCCCCCCCTTTTGGTTTTTTCGAGACAGGGTTCCTCTGTGGCTTTGGAGACTCTCCTGGAACTAGCTCTTGTAGACTAGGCTGGCCTTGAACTCAGTTATCTACCTGCTTCTGCCTCCCGAGTGCTGGGATTAAAGGCGTGCGCCACCAACGCCTGGCTCATCCCCTTTTTTTTGTAGTAGTAGCAGTAAAGCAAACTTCCACATTACAATCATTTCCATCTTTAATTTGGGAATGTAGTTTGAAAATTTTCACTTAAGAACTGAATATCAACACTAAATAATACAGAACCACCTCTTATGTAGGTTTTACTGAGCAGTAATGCAATGCAGCATGAACGTTATACCCTAATGTTACTGGGAATCAGTAGTCACTTAGCCAAAATTCTTATCAGGTAGTAATAATTGCATTAATTACTTGTATAACATATTCTGTGATTTAAAATTTTTCTGTTTTTTGAAGTCACACACCAAATAAATCTCATTGTTAATTTTTGAATATTTGTCTTTGTAGACACTCATTGTTGCCTGGATCAAAGCAAATCTCAATGTGTACATCTCTCGAGAACTTTGGGATGACTTACTTTCAGTATTGTCATCATTGACCTATTGGGAAGAATTGGCCACTGAGTGGTCTCTGACCATGGAGACGCTAACTAAAGTTTTAGCTAGGAATTTATATAGTTTGGATCTCAGTGATTTGCCATTGGATAAGCTGAGTGAACAGAAACAAAAAAAGCACAAAGGGAAAGGTAAGAGTTGTTCAAAGATTCTCCATAGGAGTTTGTTTAAATACTTGAGTTGGGGAAAACCAATCCGGGAAGATCTTTTCTGATCTTTCTTCATTTGTCTGAGAGATTTGAAAATTCCAACAATAAAATATGGAAATACATTGTTATTTTCTTAATCTTAAAATCAATAATAATTTTGGTAAGATAAGAATGTCAGTTGTGTGTGTGTGTGTGTGTCATGGTCAGTCTTATATTTAAAGTTAAATAATATAGAATCTTTTATTTTAAATGATTGACCCAAGTCAAAATTTATAAAATGTATTTTTCAGTATAAGCAGATTTTACAGAGAACTGAAAAGATGACTTCATTTTATTCTATAATAATAATTACTTGGAAAATTCTCTTGAAAGCATTTTACTATTTTAAACTACAAGAAAACGTTCTCTAGGTGTGAAATAGTATTTGTGTAACATTAAAGTGAAGTGGGCCAGTGGCATAATTGTTATATCACTCTCATGTCCTTGGTATAGTATTCTGCATTTTAAAGAATAAGTTGCCAGCTAGTAATTATATTTGTCATAATATATATTTGGCCATTTATTTATGATAATTAAGAATATGCTCAAACTACTTTTTCTGCACTATTTATTTCTCAAGTGGCTGTGACTGGACTTTCCTTTAGCTCATTTCTTATCTCTAGATGGTAGAGAATTATAATAGCTTATTGTTGATGAAATAATATAATTTTGAAAGTCTTACTAAGTTTTAACTATAGTTTTTACATATAACGAAGTTGAAAAAAATTTATAGTTACTTTATAATGTATTGTAGGAAGCCTTAGAGTGTCCAACAGTGTATTCCTAATAATTTAAAGATAACAATCAGGCAACCACTATCCTCCATACTAATACTGCATTTCTAGGAGTTGGACATGAATTTCAGAAAGTTTCAGTTGACAAGTCATTTTCTAGAGGATGGAGTCGTGATCAACCTGGCCAGGCACCCATGAGACAAAGAAGTGCAACAACCACTGGGTCCCCAGGAACTGAAAAGGCAAGGAGTATAGTACGGCAAAAAACTGTTGGTATGTACTAGTCTAAAATCATGGGAATTAGTTAAGCAATGCAGAGCTAGATGCTCTCTCTCTCTCTCTCTCTCTCTCTCTCTCTCTCTCTCTCTCTGTGTGTGTGTGTTCTTTGGGAGATAAGAAACTTGAATAGCACCCGCAGCAATTCGTATAGTCCAATAGCATGCTTATGAGCTTTTATTCCTTTAATATATATACTCTTGTGTTTATGTAGTTTATTGTGGGTATCTTTGTTTCCAAATTGTCATTTTATAGAATTCAAAAAAGTAGAATTTGTATTCAACATGCAGAACTCCAGAATGAGGTGGTATAGTTTTTATTAAATAAATATATTCACAAATACTGAGATGGGAACAAATTTTCAGTATTAGAATTATGTAGTCTTATTATTTAGAAACTTTCAACAGGGAATTAAGTTCACCCCCTCTCCTTCTGCTGGCAGGCAACTAAGGTCAAGAAGAAATCTATACTATACTTTTTTTTTTTTAAATAAAGAAGTTTTTATGTTGTGGTAAACAGTGGTGTAGGAACATCGTGGGAATCTCTTGTAGGCTTAAGCTAACACAGCATACTGTAGAACTAGCAACTGTCTTATTTTCTTCTCAGAGCCATGTAACTTGGCTGAATTATAGTAAAGAAGATTCTTCGAGAAAATACAAAGAGGGCTTATGCCCTATGTTCTTTTTTACTCTTTCCTTACTAAATATCTAAGTAACCTTGGACAATTTACCAAACCCTTCTAGGCTTTACTGTATGTGTGTGCTCATGGCTGCGTGCGTGCGTTCCAAATTGGGCAGATAGAGGTCAGAGGATGGCTTGTTTGAGTTGGTTCTCTGTTTTCACCGTGTAGGTTCCAGGATTTAATTCAGGTTGTCAGGCTTGGTGACTGTTGCCTTTACCCACTGAACCTTTCACTGGCTCCCTCTCACTGGCTTTCTAGGTTTTAAGTGCGTTATTTGTTTAGTGGTAGTGATAGTACTTTTCCCACATGAAACAGAATTGCATGATATCGTTTCAGGTTTCAAGTCCACTAAACAAAAAGTAAATCATTAGAAGTTTTACTAAGAAAGGTACATGCATAAAGTTGGAAAGTTCTTTGAAAGTTAGAGGTAAATATTGTTAGATCTTGTTTGCTTGTGTCTTGCTCTCTGAAACTCACTGAAGTAATTTTGTCACAGCTTCTTGAGTGCTGGGATTATAGATATGAGCCACTATGACTAATTAATTTCTTAATTTTTAAAATTATTTTTTATGATCACGGTGAATGAATGTGCTTATTTGATTCAGTCTGAAAAGTGCATTTCATTAAGCCCCCAGCATCCTCCCTGTCTTTCCAGTTTTACTTCACTACAGTTTCTTGTACATTCTTCTGAAGACCCTTTATTCACATAGAAGCCTAAAGCACATTGCCTGTGTATTGTGGTTAGCAATGGATTATACACATTTGAATGAAGAAAAGTTAAATATTCAGTATCAGAGCACTGTTCTAAACATTAAAGATATAGTTGGGAACAAATACTTGATCTTGGTTAAAAAACTAGAAAGTGATAAAGCAAATCAAATTTTAAAAGAAGTCACTGGCACTTAGAGTTTTAATGTTGAGCTTACAGATCCAGTAAACATAACATGTAGTAGGAAATTACAAAAAAGGTAAGGCAAGATAAAGGACTAGAGAATAGCAGGAGGGAGAGCAGGACTTTTAGATCAAGACAGGCTTCTGTAGCATGTGATTTAAGAACACAGATTTGAGTAAGTGGGAGAGCATACTTCGGGAAGATCTATAGGAGATACATTCTGATTAAAGGGGAAGTGTAAAAGCCCTGAAGCCAAGGTTTTTGTTTTGTGTTTTGTTTCTTTTTGTCTTTATCATTTGCATTGAATACTATGCTATATAGTTTAAGTATTATGTTCTTACACAATAGTACCTATAAGTTCATTTAATCAATAGTCCTTAAACTGAAGCTAAAATGATTAGGAAGTTACAAGTTACTGCCTTGTGAACTAAAAGTTTCTACCTTTGTCATCTAGTGATTCTTTTATGAAACTGTCCAGTGCAACCAAAAATATAAGTTTTGGAAAGTAAACTACAGTTTTTAAAAAGATACTTTGAAGCTTTTATGTGTTTACCATTTGGATGAGCACAGATTGTATATTGTTCTTAAGAGCCTGATGCTTTGTTTATTGTTCTGTTTGCTTTGCTTTTAGAGAAGGTGTGCTATAGCCCAAGCTGGCCTTTTGTTGTGTATTTGCTTTGCTTTTAGAGAGGGCATGTTGTAGACCAGGCTGTCCTAGAACTGACTGTGTGGTTGGAAATAACTGAACTTCTGATCCGCCTCCTCTCACCACCCTAGTGCTGGGAGTGCAGGCATGTAGGCCTGCCAGTGTGCACCCACACCTGCTCAGGAAAGTGATTCTTCATGTTGATGCAAATTCTGTTTTCTACAAATGTTTCTAATTAAAACTTTAAAGCTATACTACTATAGTTTAGTGTAAATAAGAGACACTGGTTTGATTAAGTATTCTCTCACCTGGAACAACTCCTAAACACAAGAGTAACTCTTGACAAATTTCCTAAAAGGACCTATTAGTAATTAGAAGACTTTATTTGGGTAAGAACATGGAAATAGGAATGGTTTGTTAGTATAATTCAGCTTCCTTAAGAAGAATTGCTCAGAGAAATGATCATACAGGGTACCAGAGTTCTTTTGGGCTAATGATATTGAAAAATTTTTCTATGATTCCATTTGATAAATTTCTCGTTTCTTGTTTTTTTTTTTTTAATGTGCTGAAGTGTCTGCTGGTTTTTTAATGCTGTTCCATTGTAATTGCTAATAATAGGCATTTTCCTGCTTTACACCAAAAGAATTACATTCAAAATGTGTGTGTTGTGGTTTCTTTTCTTACAGCTTGCCAGTATTTGCTGTGCTGAAATGTTTTAATTTAAAGTTTCCTTCCTTTGAATCTTTTAGTTTTCTCTGTTGCTGCTTTTTCTGTGACACAGCCTTTCATTATAGTCACTCTTCTTTTTTCCTTCCCCACTTCTTTCTTTTCCTTTTTAAAGCCATGAGAAGCCGATCCATTGGTGAATGTGCTCTGCCATCGGCCTATATTCGCAGTGCTAAAAGTGCTCCTGTTCTGATCCATACTTCCAAACCCTTCTTGCCTGATATTGTTCTCACTCCCCTTTCTGATGAGCTTTCAGGTAGTGCCACCTCTGCTAATTTCTGCACCACCCTTTTCACTTTTTAATCCTCTGCTTTCAAATTTGCTTAATCAAATAAACTCTTCAAAGTTAATTTCTTTGGGGGGAGGTGTGGGAAATTGGAAAATAATTGAGAAATCAACATTTTGAGTTATTTGAACTCTAATGCTATTCTTTCGGTTCATTCTGGAAGTGCTAAGTTTAGTGCTGTGCCAATGTCTTATGACTTTTATTGTAAAAGGCCAAGTTGTTATGCTGGATGTTTTTTCTCTTGGGTGATTAAAAAATATAGCAATGAATATTTGTATCATAGGTGTCACACAACAGATAACTGACTTTTAATGTTTTATTGTTTTGATTAACAATATTGCAAATCTTAAATATTATTTTCTCTCTGTCTTCTGTATTTATGGAACTAAATAAGGATACATAATCACTGGAGAAAACATATAATCTAAAACACTATGTAGAATTCAAAGGATATTCTCATTTTTTTTAAAGCCATTGCATGTAGCCCCAATTTCAAGAAACTTAAAAACCTCAGCTTTCCCATTGCATTAGATCTTTGATTATCAGTACCAGAATGGCATGTTCTTTTATTAAGACAGTTATCATTTAATAAAATGCATGGATTCAGTTCAGTGAGTTTTGAGAATTATGCATACACCATCACCCAAATAAAATATGGAACATTTTCATTGCCCCAAAATTTCCCTAGTCAGTCTATGCTAATAAGCATGCATTTTCTACCTCCACATGCAGAAACCACTTTTTACTTCATCACCACAGTTAGTACTGCCTTTAATTTATGTTGCTTCTATATAAAATTATACAGCCGGGTGTTGGTGGCGCACGCCTTTAATCCCAGCACTCGGGAGGCAGAGGCAGGCGGATCTCTGTGAGTTTGAGGCCAGCCTGGTCTCCAGAGCGAGTGCCAGGATAGGCTCCAAAGCTACACAGAGAAACCCTGTCTCGAAAAACCAAAAAATAAAAAATAAAAAATAAAAATTATACAGTATCTTGTTTTTATTTTTTTCTTTGTTGTTGTTGTTTGATAGCAGAAAACTTGAGTATAGTTATTTTGCAAAATCTCATAAGTTCACTGAGCTTACCTGGACATTATAAGATACCATCCTAGCACTTTGCTTAGGTGTTTCTGTGACATTTCTGTTTTTAAGAGGCACTGATGTTTTTTTGGGTTTGTGTGTATATGGGTAGGGTTTTAGGGGGTTTTGTTTGTTTGTTTAGTTTTTCCTTTTTCAAGACTATCTTTAGTTTAGTGGACTGAAGAAAGGTACATCTGTGCTAATGATATTTTCAGTGAATTTCCCTCTGCCTTCTGTAAGCCAAATTGTCTTGTAAATTATCAGGGATCCAATAATTGAGAATTACTTATATGCAAGTGCAGAAATATATCTAAATATATCTTATGCTTGATGCTCTGTAAAGAATTATAAATGACAAAATGTATTTATATTTCTCAAAATGGGACAGTAAAGCATCCCATTATTGGATATATGCATTTTCTAGGTGAATGAGTAAGAATTACTTCTGGATAGTAATCTGATACTGTTGTACTTGTTTTGAGTCAGTGTTTTACTTTGTAGCTCAAACTAATCTAAAACTGCTTAGTTTAGGCTTGCCTGCAACAGTGATCCTCTCAGCCTCAGCCTCCTAAATTCTGGGACAACAGGCACGAGCCACCATGCCTAGCCTCCTATTATGATATATTTGGGAAATATTCAAGTATTGTTTTGAAACCATAATGTAATAAGTTAGAGATAATTTATAATTA